ACCAGTAGGAAAGCCCCAGTACAGTAATAACTATCCACATTAAGGTATTGACTATTCATTTTATAACGCAGTCCACAGCTTAAATACGAAGAACTAGTTGGTCGTATCGCGTGAAATATAACCTGGCTCGCCAGTTCCGAAATACATAGCTCTATCACAGGACCAATCCACTCCCTTATTTGATACTTAACAATGGTCCAGGGGCCCTACCACTCCCTTATTTGATACTTAACAATGGTCCAGGGCTCAACCACTCCCTTATTTGATACTTAACAATGGTCCAGGGCCCTACCACAGGACCAATCCACTCCCTTATTTGATACTTAACAATGGTCCAGGGCCCTACCACAGGACCAATCCACTCCATTATTTGATCCTTAACAATGGTCCAGGGCCCTACCACAGGACCGATCCACTCCCTTATTTGATACTTAACAATGGTCCAGGGCCCTACCACAGGACCAGCCTCCTCCCTTAAGGGGTCAGCTATACTAATAACGAATTACCCAATAAGAACGTTTAACACCCCAGAATAAAGCAAGGGGGTCGACGAACCTGTAAAACTCACCCTACAAATTGTGGTGCTTAGCTAACCAGATATTGATATATTTTAACATAATCTGGTCAGTCGGTGTTGTTTTATTGCAACATGTTACTGTCTACCACTAGGTTATAATGTCCTTGTTTGATACTATGTTTGTTTATTACCGTAACCTGATGTTTTTATTACAACTAGTTTACAGGCTTAATTAGTGTTGATTAGGTAAAATTGAGACAAAGCTGATATAACAGTGTGTCGTACACGAACGTGTGCTAGTCAGCAAAGTAGGATAAAAGCGTGGCAACAGTTTATAATGACTACTGAGCCCATGTCTGTGTCATTGAGCGATAAATAAATGTAGGTATATATGTTTTACAAATTGTAAAATACAAGTATTTTTTTCTTTTAAAAATTCATATACACACACACACAAACAAATTAGTATAATTTTAAAAGAAGGATATTATAGTGAAGTCTATTTCAGAAGTAGTCCATACAAAAACTAACATTCATCATTAGTTACTCTCGTCTGACTAGATCACTCGTGTATAAAAACTAACATTCATCATTAGTTACTCCAGTTTTTTCGAATAGTGGAATATGACCATTCATAACCCACAAACAGGTGTAAAGTGCAGACCGAGTTTGTGCAACAACGGGTTACGAATCATGAACCTTTTGAGGCATGCCCGGCCCTATAAAAGCTGTCGAAATAATGAAGTAAATCTATTGGTAGTAATGTACTGTTCAGAGTATCGGTGACGTAGTTCATAACAGCATTCCCGTTGTTGGTTTTTTTTTAGTACGAAGCTACACAATGGGCTAGCCGGATTTTAGCGTTATAAGTCCTGAAGCTAGCAACTGAACCTTCGAAGTGCAGTGACACAAAGCAATGAAGAAAAAAGGAGACGTTAAAACGTCGTTATCATCGTAAAACAATACGTAAAATTGAAAGTTAAAAATATACTGTGAGTTTCTACCACAAAGTCACTTACTTTGTAATTTGGACAACAGATGGCGCTTTCGTATCGGTATATTTGTCTTGATGAAATGTATAAGTTCTGTCTTATACACTGAAGACTTTGGAGTAACTAGTTTGGAATCTTACCTCATGACACTGATCAGTGTGAACTATTATTATTTGTTTACCACATTACTCTCAATCGAATTATAGGAATAGTGCAGAGACACTGGTTTTTATTTTGTGTGCTATGTTTCAATGGGAATGAACTAAAAATGTTATTTATAGGTACTGCAGTTCCGTGCATGCTTTGTACAGAAAACTTACTGTCACTGGTTTACAAAGTTAAGAAACTTTAAACGTCGCATGTATTTGATTTCGGTAATCAATACATAACAAGTGGAAAGAGACTGTAGCCAGGATCGCCTGTACTTCGAAAGTTGCTTGTTTTTGTATATGAGTGTGTGTAGATAAAACAACGGAAAGACAGAAACAAGTCAGTTTACATAGCAGTCCCACTTATAAGAAATCCCAGGCCTGTACCTCTGATACCGAGTAACAGAGGTACATTTTTTACTGTGAAAATAAACTCAGAGAGAGTGAATTAAAAAACAAACGACTCACAAGTGCTCTGTACAGCTGTACTTCGTTGGTGTTCTACACAAACTATTTTTTCTTTGGAAAAAAGTGAAGGTAACTCGCTTAATGTTAAAAGGTGAAATTTATCGGTTGTAAAAAAAACAACAAACACGAACATGCACAGCGTAACGTGCGTTTAGTTATCTAGTGGTCCGTTCAAACATAAACTCCATCCGAAAGAATTACTGACTGACTGACTGAAACGCACTTTACGTATACCTAGCCCACACGTGGAACTCTGGTTCCCAGCTCCATTCTTTTTTCTTCTTTTACCTTTCTCTTACAACCTACAAATTCAGTGGTCCATGCACGCGCTTGAGGTGACCACGAATGATTTAGACATCCACAGATCTCGTAACGAACGTACCATCATACGTAAACAAATCGATCTGTTTGCGTTAGTTAACATGAAAAATGTTTTCACTTGTTTAAATATTTTATGTATCCCTGAACTGTCGCAGTTCGGCTAGAAACCTTACACTGAAACTAGACGCATGGTAACGAGATTATACGAACAAAAATCTCAAATGTGCATGACAGGCAGAAGCTGACACGTGAAAAATATTTTCACACAGAACAATTAAGATCCGTTAACTAGCATTCTAATAGGCGTGGATCCCATATGAAGTTATTAGGTCGGTACACGGTCAGTGACAACTGTTAACAGGTATGGATGTGAGGTTATTAAGTCGGTACACAGTCAGTGACAACTGTTAACAGGTATGGATGTGAGGTTATTAAGTCGGTACACAGTCAGTGACAACTGTTAACAGGTATGGATGTGAGGTTATTAAGTCGGTACACAGTCAGTGACAACTGTTAACAGGTATGGATGTGAGGTTATTAGGTCGGTACACAGTCAGTGACAACTGTTAACAGGTATGGATGTGAGGTTATTAAGTCGGTACACAGTGACAACTGTTAACAGGTATGGATGTGAGATTGTTAGATCGGTACACAGTCAGTGACAACTGTTAACAGGTATGGATGTGAGATTATTAGGTCGGTACACAGTCAGTCACAACTGTTAACAGTTCCGTGTTTTGCGTCTTGTTACCGCCTGCCCCCTTCCCTTAAAAAAATCGCGTTTCACTCTTTGAGGTATAGGGGCGTTATGATGATGAAAGTCAATTCCAAATCTTCGTTCTGATAATTGTTGTCAGTGGGTGGTGTTGACTATCTGTTTTCCTTTTAGTTTCCCTCATTCATTCCCATATTGAAATAGATATTCTAACACATACTGACAGTAGCACAGGCTGCAATACATAGTCTAACACATACTGTCAGTAGCACGGGCTGCAATACATAGTCTAACACATACTGCCAGTAGAACAGGCTGCAATACATAGTCTAACATACACTGTCAGTAGCACAGGCTGAAATACATATTCTAACACACACTGTCAGTAGAACAGGCTGCAATACATAGTCTAACATACACTGTCAGTAGAACAGGCTGCAATACATAGTCCATCACATACTGTCAGTAGCACAGGCTGAAATACATAGTCTAACACATACTGTCAGTAGCACAGGCTGCAATACATATTCTAACATATACTGTCAGTAGCACAGGCTGAAATACATATTCTAACACACACTGTCAGTAGAACAGGCTGCAATACATAGTCTAACATACACTGTCAGTAGAACAGGCTGCAATACATAGTCCATCACATACTGTCAGTAGCACAGGCTGCAATACATAGTCTAACACACACTGTCAGTAGAACAGGCTGCAATACATAGTCTAACACACACTGACAGTAGCACAGGCTGCAATACATAGTCTAACACACACTGTCAGTAGCACAGGCTGAAATACATAGTCTAACACATACTGTCAGTAGCACAGGCTGCAATACATATTCTAACATATACTGTCAGTAGCACGGGCTGCAATACATAGTCTAACACACACACTGTCAGTAGCACAGGCTGCAATGCATATTCTAACACACACTGACAGTAGCACAGGCTGCAATACATAGTCTAACACACACTGACAGTAGAACAGGTTGCAATACATAGTCTAACATATACTGTCAGTAGCACAGGCTGCAATACATAGTCTAACACACACTGTCAGTAGAACAGGCTGCAATACATAGTCTAACATACACTGTCAGTAGCACAGGCTGCGTGTATGTGTTAGACTATGTATTTATGTATTGCAGCCTGTGCTACTGACATTCTAACATATACTGTCAGTAGCACGGGCTGCAATACATAGTCTAACACATACTGTCAGTAGAACAGGCTGCAATACATAGTCTAACATACACTGTCAGTAGCACAGGCTGCAATACATAGTCTAACACATACTGTCAG